TGCCTTTTTTGCCAGCTTGGCCTCTTTTTTTGCCTTCCTCTGCGAGGCGGCAGTCGGGGTGGTCTTCTTGTGACCGGCAAAACCCGCTTGTGATGGTTGTGGTGCGGCATGGGGTGCCTTTTGTGCGGCACCCGCCGCTGGTGCCGATTCGGAGGCACGGGGTGCTGCGGCTTGGGCTGCGTATGTTGGTACCTGAGTGTTGGCCTGGTCTCCAGCTAGAGGAGGACGCAGAATCCTCCCTTCAAGCACCGAAAAACGCGCGTTGAAACTCGCCATTTCCTGACGGATCAGGCGAGTCAACTCCGCCTCCTGCGACGGCAACTGCGGTTGTTGTGGCGTTGTTGTAGGCGGAAGGCCCACCTCCCGCCTAAGTTGGTCGCGCCGAAAGTTGGCCATTTCTTCCTTAAACTCCTCGTGCTCCTTGCGGAGCTCCGCCAATTGTGATGCGAGCTTTTTGTTTTGGGCCCGCAGCAAGGTCGTCTCTTCGGCTGTCGTGCGAGTCAGAAGTACCTGCGCACTCTCCATGATGGAGGCCGTGGCCTCTTTGAGTGCTTTCTTGCTGCAGCCGCTAAGGCCCTTCGAGACCTTGCTCACCCGTCTTATGGCTGCAACCGCGTCAGCCAATCTTTGGTTTAATTCGGAGGCAGGGAGCTCTTCTGCCTCTACTCCTAGATCCGAGACGACAGATGACGATTCCGACAGGCGAGTGACTCTCCCTTCCGTCACCCGTTTTGTTAGAGCCGCAATCTGCCGCTCGTCCTCCTCCAGCTTGTCAGCACTTGCTGCGGCTTTCATTGCAGCCGCAGCCTCACGCCTGGATAGGCCGATACCAGCATATTTGCCGGTAGTAGCAGGCCTACCTCTCCCTGCTTTTTTGGCACCGACCTTGGGGGCCGGCACCGCTGTGTCGCTTAGGGCCGATTCCGACCCTGAGATCGCACTCTCACTCGCCACACTCATGTGACTAGACGCACTGTCCGAGTCCGACAGCACGCCCATTGGCTCAACTAGTACCAGAGGTACTTTGTCTCTCACTTCGTCATTTTTTATTTGATTTTGTAGGTTCTCCATAGTGTTCCCACGAGTATAAAGCAAAGAAATGTCAACCCCGGGCAGAGGCTTAAGTACCCGGGTAAGCCTACATACTGCTGGGGGCGGCAGGTACCAGCAGGTGGGAGCGCTAACGACCGTACACCCAACGGCCATTCATCCCCTCGCCGCGCTCCCAAAACTTGGGATTGGGTGGTTTTTTATCTTAGAGGTGTCCTTCCTCTGGGGCCGGGCGGTAAAGCCAAGCCCCCCGACGGCGGCATTAAGACATGCCTCCGTCCGCTGTCCGGCCAACCCGAATCAGCGGACCCGCCGAAAGGTTTGTTCCTCAATGAACGAGGAGACTAACGAACCCCGCATTGACGCGCCTGCGCCTAAGAGGGTGTGGTCACGTCCTCACCAAATCGAATAAGACGACGGGGCAGGAGTGACCCCTCCTGCAGAAGTTAGCTCCGGACAATAATACTCCTCTTACGCGAAGTGATTATTGTCCGTACCCAGGGTGCACCGGTCCAACGACTGCTCTTCCCCCCCGGACGTATCCATAAGGGACCAGCAGCCGCCGGACGCACGGGGAGGTCTTCTGCGCGCACCCCTGACTTATTCTTACATTAACTAACTAAATTATATTTATATTATTATTATTTATAATATAAACATTCATTTGTTATATTTTTAAATTGAATGATGTATTTAAAAGTAAGTGTGCTTGACGCCTGATAGAATTGACGTCTTTAACAAATAAATTTACTTCGACACTTTGCTGTAATGAATAGAAAAGGTTTTTTTTATAATAATATCAAATACGCTTATTAGAATTCTAATTACAATGATTTTAAGAGCCTATATAAAACTTATTTCATCATAACAAGAAAGAGACAAACAGTTTGGCGTGAAAATATTTGTGACGGAGAGCGACTCAGCATAAAATTACCATTTGATTAATTAAAGTCTCAACTAACCAGCTGATTTAACATTTTTATTAACACAGTAGAACAAATACCTAATTTAAAGTTTTAAATAAACTGTGACGAATGGACTTACACGAGACCTTTTCATGTACATACATACATCAAGCTGTAAACAACCAATTTAATATTGTCTCGTTTTGCATGATCTTCCCGCACATTCAATGATCAGTTATATACTGTTTATGCATCAGCCTGCCCTGATTCCCAGTAGTATGCCTACCGCAAGGCAGTATTTTGGGTCCACTGTTGTTTTTACTGGGGGTTGTTTTTACTCCGGGCCACTATGACATCCTCTTTTCTGAGATACGGTGTAATTTTATGGGGCCGATGTGTAGATGTTATTCAGATGTTTATAATGCAGAGAAAATGATTGAGAGCCATGTTTAGGTTAAAGTAAACAGGGTCTTGACTTTTGTATTTTGATTTATACTTTTATGACATTTTTTCTCATGATAACGTGACGACGTTTTAATAAATGATTACTTTAAAACATTATCTTTTAAACAATTTTGCACGTCCGAATCGGGGGCATATTTAAATATGCTATACCTAATTTATAATGACAAACCTTATGTACTTTTTTCATGCAAATAAATGATTTTTGGAGACTGAGCTGACTAGCAAGACTAAACAGACGTGTCTTTTGTTATTTATAATGCACACCTATAAATAATTGCGAAATAAAAAAAAAAATATTTTGCGGCGTCAGATTTATATCAAGTAAAGTGTGTCATGAGTGCTTAGTAGGTGACCAACAACTTTGTCATAGTGTAAAATGAACAAATAAACTATTTTTAAACAATCTGTGTTACTGTGTTAGTTATGTCTAACCCAGAAGCCAGCCCGTTTGGCCGTAGCCAATTACTACGGCGAAGCCCACCATCGACGCCATCGGAACCTCCTAGAGATCCTAGCCCGCCTCCAGTCAGGGAAAATGAATTACCAAGTGAAGTAATTTCTACGCCGGAGATACAGAAGTGGATGAGCTCAATTGACTCAATCTTGAATGAAGTCTGCATTATTGTTTCGGAGGGGAAAATGAACTCTGAACAGAAGCTTCGAGTTACCAATCTTTGCCGAAAGGTTTCTAGCGGGACGTCTCAAATGGCCATTTTATACCAAGCTCTGAAGCAGAAAACTATCCAGGCCCATAACTCAAATCAGCATTTACAAGAACAGCTGAATATTTCAAACTCTCTGCACCAGCTCAAAGATGCCGTCGAAAATAAAATTCAACCCGAGACTAAATCATATGCCAATATGGTTAAAAAAGGATCGGATACTTTTGTTTGTCCAGAAAATTTGAATTCTGTCGTAATTTATCCCAATGACAAGACCAAAACGAGTGACGAAACAAAGTCTCTGGTCCAAAAGATTATCTCGCCGGAAGAACTTAAGCTGCACGTTCGTGGATTGAAGAAAGTTAGAAATGGTGGTGTCATAATTAATACTCAAACTAAAGGGGACATCGAAAAACTTAAGAACTCAGAAAAATTAGTTTCATCTGGTCTTAAAATTGAAGAACCATCAAAACGTCGACCCAGGATTGCTGTTATTGGTGTACCAGTAGCCCTTACAGAAAAAGAGGTATTCGATTGCATATTCGAGCAAAACATTGCCGACAAGTTGCCGAATATAACACGTGAGTCATTCCTGGAAACAATCAAATTGAGCCACAAATCGGGTAAGAAGAATCTTTCTACCTGTAACTATGTTTTGGAAGTTCCTGCCAGCATTAGGAGAGCATTAATTAATCAAGGCCGAATCTTCATCAATTGGACGTCATGTCCGGTCCGAGATTTTACTATTGTGACAAGGTGCTTTAATTGCCAACAGTTTGGTCATGCGGCCAAGTTTTGCCGAGAAGCTATTGCTACATGCAATCACTGTGGAGAAACTGGCCACTCCTTCAAGGACTGTAGTAACAAATCTTCTCCCTCACAATGTGCGACGTGCAAACGTTTTAAGCGTAAATGTGACCATCCAACAGGGGATATGAGTTGCCCAGCTCGCAAATACGCAGAAGACTACTACATTAATTCCATAGACTATGAAGGGGCCTAATGCTACCACACACCTTAGTATGTAAGCACTTTAGAAGTAAACTTTTATTTTGTATTCTTAAAAATTGTTAATTTGTAATTATTATGACCACTCAGCTAATAGATGACCTAGACAGTTTTTCTGTGTCTGACGCGCAAGTATGCAATTTAAAAATAATCGCACATAACTTAATTTCGCACGCTGACTTTGCATGCACTTGCCCTGCTTTGGTAAATGCTGATTATACTAAATATGTAGGTGTAACAATTGACACAAATCTGAACTTCCGTAATCACATCGGTCTTTTGTGTACGTCGTATGTGCTATTGATGCGTAAATTGATCTATTCCTAAAAACTTCTAGAAATCGTAAATGTTGGTTACTAGTCCGTAAGAAACAAACACTTTAAGTGTTATTTTAAATCTGTTTTATAATTTTTATATGTATTATATTTAGTCTTGTAGTCATAAACAATATACTTTTTTCATTAGTAATATTAATTGTATTTGCCCCACGTATTAAAAAGTCGAAGACTGATGGCCTGAAACACAGGTTTACATAAACCTAGCTCGGGCAGGTCACTTTAATATCGTAAGTCCTTGTTAATAACAAGTATTTCATAATTGTGAAAATAATAGTATAAGTTGTAATTACCTTGCATTATATAAATACCTAAAAGTTAACTATTGAAATTACTGTGGCTTATTATAAACAATATTTTGTAGAAAGTTATCAATAAATTTTATTTTTATTTTTTATTTTTTTTTTTATTTTTGATTTTGTGTATATTAAGAAAGAAGAAGAAGTATAGAACGTTTATGACGTTCAGTGTTCTCATTGGTCTGCTCCAAATTCGCCGACCAGTCAGAAGGCTTAACGCGTTATTATGAAGCATCCCAGCTGTGAGTATTTAGAAACAGCGTGTGCAGTGTGCGGCTTCAGTATCATTTGAGCGCGTGAAGTGCACGCAAGAAGCCATGTCGAAAATAGAATTCACTGTCAATGGAAAAAAATGTACAGGTATGTACGATTGTTTTAATTTTTAGTTTAATTTCAAAGTTAGGGATATAAAATTAAAATTAACAATACATGTACATAGTTGTTAAAAAACCATAATCTTTATTTAATCGTTTGCATCAGCAGCAGTCGGAAATAGTCTGAATGAAACTGTAATCAGTTTTTAAATTTTTTATTTTGTGTTTAATTTTTATTTCGTATTTTCCTACCAACGCTCGTGATTTTAGAAAATAAATTATATTTCAATTTGACATAAAAAAACAGTAGGTTGTGTTGGATACAAAATCCCGCGCCGTTTCACCCGCTGCTCGGCTCCATTTGATCGTAGCGTGATGTTTTATAGCCTATAGCACTTAGGAATATTGTAGCTTTCTATAAGTGAAAGAATTTTGGCAATCCGATCAGCGGTTCCAAAGATTACGCCCTATATACAAACTTACAAATTTGACCTCTTTATAGTATTAGTATAGAAAATATAACGCCTTTCAATACCTGTGGAGGTGTAGGTACCTACAACTGCTCGATTGACAGATCTCAATATATGTAGATATTGATTTGTTATATTGTTCTAGCAAGAACTATTTAATTAAGTAATTATCTTGCGCAGTGATAGGTAGGTATAATGACAATTGAAAATAATATTTTAGTTCATACATTTTATTTACAGAATTAAATGAACTAAGCCCCAAATAAGGAAATAGGCAAATTCCAATTACTTTGTGACTAATAATTAACCGAACTAGTGAAAAATAAATGTAACATTGTTTATTTTTGCACCTCCACTTTCTACTATTTCCCTAAAGGGAAAGCCCATTTTAATCACCAATTTCCCATATTCCGTTGCTTACGATTTTTAATGACCAAGAGGATAGCTCTTTATGGTTTACTTACATTTTGGACTTTTGTGTTGGATTTACCATTCCTAGGAAGGGCATGAGTGAAAATTGTAGGACGTGTGCGCGATGGGCTTTTTGTGTTAAATTTTATATATTTATATAATTATTAAATATATCATCTATCAAAGTTTTAACTGTCTAGCTATCACGTTTTATGAGATACAGCGTGATGACCATAAAGCAAATAACTTGGGTCTTTTACTTTATGCTCATGGCAGACAGACGGACAGCGAAGTGTTAGCAATAAGGTACCTAAAAATGGGTTATTGTCCTCATATACAAGGCTAACCATAAATTGTTATAGGTAGCATATTATCGTTAAAAAAAATATAATATATAATATTTCCTGTCGTTAGTAGAAAACACGACATGTACGTCCTAAATGATAAATAACAAAGTTCTTGTATTGGTTTTCTTAAAATATAAGTGCCCTAGTTAGATATTTCGTTTCCGGTCCCCTTTACAAACAAACAAAGTTTCATAAAAATCGTTGGAGTCGTTTCTGAGATCCTGCGAATATATGTAGGTATATTATTTACAACAATTGCTCGTTTAAAGTGTATTATTAGGTATAACCATCCTTCGGCACGAATGGGTCGGCTCGACTGGAGTGATATCACGGCCTCACAAAAAACCTGCGTGAAAACCACAGCGTTGTGTTTCGCTGTGTCAGGTTACCGGAGGCCCAATCCTCCCCTAATCCCTAAATTCCCAAAACCCTAATCCCGTCTTTCGGCAACGCACTCGTAACTCTTTCGTCGTTGAGGATGTCCATGGGCAGCGCTGATAGCGCTGATGGTTTAAATAAATTTATATATTCATACTCTGTTATTATCCTTATTCTCACGTTTGGCAGACTGCTTTGAGATCGCAGTTTGGTTACCTTAATAGCCATTCCCATGATTAATTTAAACTTTTATTTAATTATGGACGACTTACGTATTATTATTATTTGAGAAAAAACCGGCTTGATTGTAATTGTGTGTTTAGTACACATATCAGGAATAACTGGGTTCTTTAAGGTAGGTATTTGTTGTGGTGGGAGAAGCAGGGGCAGGCAATAGAAACGCCATTGACAATGTCAGGAAAAAAACCAGGTGAAACCACACACACATACGAAAATGTTACATATTTTATGTCACAGGTCGGCAAACGAGCAGACGCCTTGCCTGATGGTAAGCATTCAGCGCTGCCCATGGACTATCGTAATACCAAACGAGTTAGGTCAGTACAAGTGCGCTGCGATTTACGGTTAGGGGTTTGAGGATAGAGTATGGCGGGAAGGGGGGGGGATTGGACCTCCAGTAAACTCACTAGGCTAAACACAAGGTAAGCGTTGCTTCACACCGTTTTTCTGTGGTATCACTCCGGTCGAACCGGCCCATTCGTGCCGAAGCTTGGCTCTCCCACACTTAAATCATCGTAACATTAAGGTACAATGTACTTCTAGATGTCAACCTTTGGATTCATTACCGGACTATCAGCGCATGGCGCGGCGTGGCGGGCGACTGTGATACATTGCTGATTTGTTTATGTTTGCGCGAGCCATATCCCAGCGAAACACGCAATGTACGACGAACGCTCGACGCTGGGTTTCCGTAAACGCGGCCTTAGCCTCTTTGCGCGCTGATGACAAAACTATGAGAATATTACTGTAATCTGTCCGTTATTATCTAAGTACCAGCATAATGACAGAGAATAAAATATGTCTTATGGCAATAATACTTAATGTATAGCAGTTTCCTTTCTAGTAACAACAGTAGGTATCTTAAATAGCAATTTTCCGTACAACACGCATCACGATTTACAAATGTTTCTGTAAACGACAATAGGTACTATTATTATAATAAAACTTATTGAAGTATAACATACATAATGTATTCATTTAAAGGATTCAATACGAATACTTATTGTGTTATAATAATTATATGCGTGATATTGTTATCGAACATACAAGTGATGGGAAAACAAGTTATATGTTTTCTACTATTTTACGCTAGCTATACCTCAATTCATACATCCTCGTTTTTAAAATAAACCTACAATGATAACCATTTGATGCATATGTCATTCCGTCATCACTTCCTCTGGGACGAGCTATATGGAGTGTCCCAAAAAATGAAAACGCCAAGTCGGAATCTAGCAATATGTCCTATTGCTTGCTGCAGGCATGGCAGCTGTTACAAAAATATGAAAAAAAAAACCGACTGAATATACTGAAAAAAAAACATAAATATATTAAAAAGAGAGAATCGAAAAAAATGTAATAATCCTTGTAACTTCTTAGAGTTACAATGTATTCTTAGAGTTACAAGGATTATTACATTTTTTTTCGATTCTCTTTTTTTAATATATTTATGTTTATAACAATAAAGGAATATCAATTCGAGACACCAAAGGCTATGTTGATATCGATTTCATATTTAAAAAAAGAACTTGTTATCATTCTAAAAAAAACACACTTGTTTTTCTTTTATAGTAAACGAATGTACGCCCCGGGAGATGTCGTTGAACGCGTACCTCCGGTACGTGTTGGCACTGCCTGGTACAAAGGCGATGTGCCACGAGGGCGGCTGCGGCTCCTGCATAGTGATGGTGCGCGCCAGGAGATTTCCTAGCGGCATCGTCGAGACCTTCTCTGTTAATTCTGTAAGTACACAACCATATAGACGGGGTTGCGGGTGCAAGAGTTATAATGTACCACGTCCACGGCCCCAGCTTTTAGCAACAAAAAGAAACGAGCTGGAACAAGGGTGTTTTTAGCCAGCAAGAGTCTGAATCACGCCGCAACCATGGAGAGAGAAGTCCTTTTAGATTTTGTACATTTAACATATGCTTTGAGACCTAATTATAGGTATGTGTATTATAATCGCACGGTATTTTTGTAAAAATATGCTTAGTTTTTTTATAAGTGTATATATCAATAGTAAAAAAGAGATAGCTGGTATGGAGGCTTATGTAGCAAAACGTGAGCCTATCTTCAACCGGGTACAATATTGGACTCCGTGAAACTACTAACTCAGCTCGAATTAAGTAATATTACACTTTTTTTGTGAGGGGAAAATCATCAAATGAATGACTTCTCCCGCCCAGGGTCGGGCAGGAGGAAGTGTCAGACTCTTACTGACTAAAAACGTTCCTTCTTCTGCTCTGGGCCGAGGTCGCGGTGCTTCATTGCGCTTACCCCGCAACCCCGGCTGAACATCAGCTCTATAAGGCCCCGTCTATGGTGGTCTATTGGCTCATTGATGCGCGCGCGGAACAATACGCGCCGTACGCACGGGTCTGTTTCTGGTCGGGCGGCGAGCTACCCTTACTCGCCGTCTGCAGACCCGCGCTTACGATGGCCGGAGTTTTACATTTCTTCTCAGAGTAGTCAGATAGAAAATCCCTCATCTAGTTTTTCTGTTTATGATGTTGATGTGCTGTTTTCTGGCCTATATTAGGTACTTACAATAATAAATTCATAATTCCATTGATCACTTACACTACGTTGAACTAAACGCATAATTATTTCAAACAGACGCTTATCGACATTTAGGAAACACATAATATAACTAATAAATCTATAGTGCTTGGTGCTGGTGCTATCCTGCAATGGTTGGGAGATCACCACTGTGGAAGGTGTCGGCAATCGGTTGGACGGGTACAGTGATGTCCAGAAACGGTTGGTGGCTTTCAACGGTTCCCAGTGTGGGTATTGCACTCCTGGATGGATCATGCATTTGACTAGGTAAGTACAGTACTTACAATTTTGATTACCTAATTACCTAAAATTGAACTCAGAATTCTTTTCGTCATCGGTGGACATTGTTGCCGTGTTAGAATGTTGTGTATGTATGTGTTTGTTTAGTCACGAAGAGTTTGACATTAATTGAATGGTTTTGCCTAACGAAGAAGCGAATCGTTGTGTGGCCTAGTATTTATAGGAATTTCATGAAACCTCGTGGCGACGCCGCCTATAAGTTTCCATTGAATGATTCCTAACTCGATTGTTGCCATATACATAACAAGATCTAACTAACAATTACATTTTTTTTTCTTTCAGCTTAGTCGATAAAAACCTGAACATGTCCGAATTAGAGGAGTCGTTTGGCAGTAACACGTGCAGATGTACTGGTTTCCGACCAATCTTGGATACTATCAAATCATTTGCTATTGACGCTTCTCCAGAAATATGTCAGAAAGTGAGAGGTATCGAGGAGCTAAATGGGTGTTCCAAGAACCCTAGAAATTGCCAAAGAAAATGTTCATCGAACAGTGACTGCAGTGATTGGAGTGTTGTAGCTGATGTCAAGAAAGGAGGCCCAATGCGTTTCGACTATGGGAAACACAAATTCTTTAAGGTCTACGAGATTGAAGACATTTTTGATATCTTCAGGAAATACGGCGTCGATTCCTATATGCTTGTTGATGGGAACACTGCTAAGGGTGAGTTTTGTTTTATAATATTAAACCACAAACTAAATACTTGTTTTGAGTTCGTAAATACTAATACTTGTAGCAAATGTTATAGCTTATCTACATAAAATATGATTGATCAGGTGTATTGGATTGACAGCTGTTATTTTAATGTATTGTATAATGGAAAGTTTTTATGATGGATTTGGATTTGACATTGACAATCGACCATACGTAGGCTGTTATGAAGAGACACAAACAGTGTTCAATAAGGTCCATATTTGAATAGGATTGATACGATAGACGATGACGGTTTGAAGCAACAGTTCCTTTGAATATACCAGCTCCGAATTGTCCATTGTGCTTAATTTACACGTCTAGCGAATAGGGAGATATTGTTTACAAAAAAAAAAATTAGTTACATGTCATCATCATCATCAGCCTATAAGTGCCCACTGCTGAGCAAAGGCCTCTTCTCACACAAAGAAGGTTTGAGCATTAATCACCACGCTTGCTCAATGCTGGTTGGCGATTTCAAACTTATAATTAGAAATTATAAGTCTAGGTTTCCTCTCGATGTTTACCTTCACCGTATGTTAGTGGTGTCTTAATAATCATAGAAAGTACGTATAACTCAAAAAAGTCACGTTGATTCTTGCCAGGTTTCGAACCCACACCCTCATGTTTGAGAAGCGGGCGCCGTAACCTCGCGGCCACAACGACCTCGTTAAATGTAACCTCAGACAAATATTTCGAAGAATATTAAAAGACATTGTAGTACTAAGGCAATGTTATAATTAGAAGATAATTATTTATATAGCTAAATTATATCGAGTACAAAGAGAGAGTATTAAAATTAGCATAGTATTCCATTTCAATTGTTAAACATGTTTAGGTCTATTTGCGTAATACTATAGTATTTTTATAGGTATCAAAATAACGAATGTTATTAATAGATTTTATGTAAAATAACTTTAAACTTATTTTTAAACACGATATTTCATCAACTATTTAGTAACTAATTTACAAATTGATGGTTAACTCATATCAACTATAATGATCAGTAGCACAAGTTCGGCTCCTGAAGCCCCTGAAAACCTGGCAAGGACCAATGTAACTTTTCGGAGTCATATTTACTTTCTAAGATTATTTAGACACCACCGACAAACAGTGAAAGAAAACATCAAGTGAGGAAACCTGGACTAATAATTTCTAATTATAAGTTAGAATTCGCCAATCCGATTTGAGCAAGCGTGGTGATTAATACTCAAACCTTCTCTGTGTGAGAAGAAGAATGTGCTCAGTAGTTGTCACTTATAGGCTGATGATGATGATGATGATGACTACAAATATTCTGTATTACATTATTAATAAATTTAATTGTTTTAGGTATCCTGGAAACATTTGAGTACCCAAATATTTTAATAGATATCAGTGAAGTGATGGCTTTGAAGACCTATGATTATGATCAAAATCTAGTCCTCGGAGCAAACGTATCCTTGGAAGATTGCATTAAAATATTCAAGGAAGCTTCTGCTAAGAAGAGTGAGTTTGCATATTTAGCTGAACTGGTGAAACACCTTAAGCTTGTCGCTCATATACCAGTAAGGAAGGTGAGTAAGAACATATGAATTTCTACGTCAATTTTTTTAATGTAATAGGTCGGCAAACGAGCAGACGGATTACCTGATGGTAAGCAATCACCGCCACCCATGGACACCCGCAACGAAGGAGTTACGAGAGCGTTGTCGACCTTTTAGGAATTAGGAATTTGGAGATTTAGGGATTAGGGATTTGGAGATTTAGGGATTAGGTATTTGGAGATTTATGGATTGAGGAGGGATTGGGGGAGGGGAAGGATTGGGCCTCCGGTAACCTCACTCACATGGCGAAACACAACGCCGTGGTTGTATCACGCCGGTTTTTTGTGAGGCCGTGGTATCACTCCGGTCGAGCCGACCCATTCGTGCCGAAGCATGGCTCTGCCACACTGACCGAAGAATGGCTCTGCCACACTTAAAACTAATTAGTTTGTTTATTTTTAGATTGGTTCCATAGCAGGCAACTTGATGTACAAGCATAAACTGCCGAGGTACAAATCTGACCTCTTTCTGCTCTTTGAGTGCATTGGAGCAACAGTTACTATCCGTAAGTACCCACTTGAACCATTTATAAAATAATGAAAGAAAGAAAGATGAGAAAGAATTTTAAGAACTAATAGCTACTCTCGCGCGGTTTCACTCGCTGCTCGGCTCCATTTAATCGTAGCGTGATGTTTTATAGCCTCAGGAATATTGTAGCTATCTATCAGTGAAAGAATTTTGGCAATCTGACCAGCGGTTCCAAAGATTACCCCCTACATACCAACTTACAAACATACAAACTTATTAGTATAGATATAAATGATATTTTAATTAAACTTTTGCAGTGGAGTATTGGTTTTACATCGCTAAAAGTGAAGTTCATTTATCCCTTTGATGAAATAATCGATTTACTTATTTTTTTTAACAATGTTTTATATTATTTATGTATATGTTATTTGGATGAAACACACATATCGATGTACTTCAAAAAGGTACAGTTTTTTATATGTATTTTACTGTAGTTCAAGAAAAACGAAAAGATAAACTATAATGTTACTTACATGCTAGTAGAACATTTTATTTAAAAATTATTTATTTATTTATACTTCATGCACAATTTGTATGTACATAAGGCGGACTTAATGCATTGAGCATTCTCTACCAGTCGACCTTTGGGTGATGCAGAGAATCCAGTAGTAGATGCAAGAAGCAAGCGAAATAGAGTAGTATAACATAGGTTTATAAGTATAAACATACATAAAGTACATAGAACTATACTTATATACATATATTTGTAAAACACATACAACTTAATATATTTACACATATAAATAAATACATACATATATATACATAAATGTAGTCATGATTACGATGACTCCCTAACCCTCCTCAGAAGAAGCTCCCGAACTCTCTGCTTGAATGTCAGCCGACTAGTCACAGTCCTGACATCGGGGGGTAGCGCATTCCACAGAAGAATAGACTGAACAAAAAAGGAGGAGTGAAGAAATTTTGAGTGATGAGTTGGACAGTTGAGGAGACGATTATTAGATGAGCGAAGATATTTACTTACTATGAGTACAAAATAAAATTACATTGAGTTCAAAACACTTGATAAAATTAAACAATTCCATGTTTACTAGGAAAACCATTTTTGAATTGTGTTTGCTGTATTTTTGTCATTTATTATTGACTTTATTTGCAATTGATATTTGCATAAATTGTTACGGAAAAGACATTAGGTATAGAAACCGCAATTCACGTGATGCATGCATGTTAGTTCGACAAAAAGATGAATAAATATCGATGGCTTTAAAAAGTTGTAAAACCTTAATATCTTTAGAATTTTAATACTTAACTAGCTTCCGCCTGTGGCTTCGCCCGCATGGTAGATAAAAGCAGCCTTAAGTTAACTAAGATTATCACATACCAAATTTCAACGAAATCTGTCTAGCCGTTTTTGCGTGAAAGACTAATTACCAACATTCATTCTCATAAACTTTCACATTTTAATATTAGTAGGAAGTAGGATTTGGTATTTTGATAAAGACATTATTTACGATATCTACTAGTGGGTTCAACTGTTCAAATTCTAGTTCAGTTTTATAATTGTAAGTATCTGTACATAATACGAAAAAACTAATTGACTTTCTAAAAAAAAACTAATTTAATTTCTTGATGAAATCCCAAGGTTACTCCAATGGCAATACGAAATCGTTGAAGATGACCAAGTTCTTGAAGACAGACATGGAAGGAGTTTTGTTGGTTAACGTGGAAATACCACCGCTAAGTAGCTCACACGTTTTTAGGAGTTATAAGGTAAGCTTATAAGACCTTCTTTATATAAGTTTTTTTAATGTAAGCATTGACCCAGGAAAATGTTGTTACAGAGTAACCAATAAACAAAATGGTACAAAAAACAATTTTGTGTAGACGTGATACCGATGCTTATTAATAATCTGTGACATTTACGTTCTTGCTTTTTAATCCGCATTGCATAAAATAAGCATACGGATTACCTGATGGTAAGCAATCAACGCCACACATGGACACCCGCAACACCAACAAACGCCAAACTAATGCAACATGCTATATCCTAATGCCTCATTTAGCTTTAGCTTCTATCGTTGCTCCTCGCCCTGCCAGCAATGATTCCCTAAATACTGCTGCGACAGGATCAAGGGATATGTGTGCTTACATACTGTCCTTCTTCTCACTTCGCTTACAAGTTCCGGCAATGGCAGACGTTCAATCTGTGCCACAGGTCCTTCTGAGAAATTGAGCAGAATGTAAATATATCCTGCAGCTCGCGCTGCCGGTCCTTATCCCTACTAAAAACCGCTCTTTTGGGAAGCGCTGGGCAGCGCAAGTAGCATTAGCAAAGGCACGAGAAGTATGTTTACATACTCATCCTGCCCACTTTCCTGCTTACTACAGCTGCTTGTAAATGAGGCATAAAACATTAATATTTTTTTTATCACTTACGTTCAGAACGAAAGTAAGAAAATGTTTAAAAGGTAGTGTTTCGGATAGGTCAGACGAAAATAGTCACTTACAATATTTAACTGATACCTAATACGACAGCATTTATTGTTGTAATACCTATTATTTACATATCGGCTACGCAAGTGCCTCGTTGCAAACACATTTAAACATATATCCTACTGAAATAAAGTTAAGTTTATGCTTGAAAATTTACAATGAATGTGGTAAAACCTGATCAAATGGTATCTTAAAACCCGTTCAATGTTCCATTTTCATTTTGTTGAATAATTTGTATAAGTACTACTTAATTAACGCAAGAGACTTAACTTGTAAAAAAATGCAAAAATAATTTATCCGCGTTACCGTACTTTTCTCACACTAAAAAACCGACTAAATAAATTGGGAAAGTGATTTAAAAAGAGTAGCCATGTAGATTCTTGCTTGTTCTTCTCCATCGGAATCTATACTTAGGGACAAGCAAATAGCTTCACTAGAAGGTAGATCGACAGACACAATGATACACACAATGTTGAAGTTTCTGGCATAACGTTTTATGTTTGACGTTTAAAAATGCCTACATTGGTCTATTTGAAATAAATGATTTGTCTTTGACTTTGATTATTTTTAACGGATAACTCAACTAGTTTCAAGCCAAGCTAGGGGCTCATATTCATATCCAGCATTGAACGACACATGACGCGATGAACGTGTTGTAGCCTAGCTGGTCAAACACAATTAAATATTTTAATACACTCACGAAATTGCACGAAATATTTGGAAGGCTTTAAATGTCAAATGTTCAGGGGACTGAATGATTACTTGGCAGTATATCTTATTTAAAATCTAATTGAACATTACAGATTATGCCAAGAAACCAGAATGCGCTAGCTCACGTAAACGCAGCATTTCTTTTAAAATTAGGACGAAAGAAGATAATAGAGTCAGCAAGCATAGTGATTGGTAATATTGATCCGAAATTTATTCACGCTACAAAAACTGAAGAGTTTCTGATCGGAAAGAACATATTCAATGATGCGACCTTGCAAGCAGCTATACAGGTTCTGAGCAAAGAGTTGAAACCTATAGAAATACCAGGAGAACCATCACCACAGAGCAGGAAGAAATTAGCTTTGGGTCTGTTTTATAAGGTAAGTATCTACACAAGTCTTTACTTACGGGTTAGATACAGACGTTTAGTAATTTTATTATTCGGGACATGACAATGTATTTGAAACAAAAATATTTAATAATGAAAATTCTATTTGCCCGCTCTTTGCTCATTTTTTTTATAAAGAAGGTTAAACTGGATTATTTTGAACATGACGTGTACAACATACATTTATAACCACGTTTCAGTTATAAAAATTTTATTATTAACGAAAACCAAAAAAGTTTTGAACACTAGTAAATTATGACTTATCGTCTCATCCACAGTTCATCCTCAACATCAGTCCAGCTGGCACAGCGCTTTCCAAATACATTTCTGGTGGAGAACTTCTACAAAGACCTGTGTCATCCGGTAAAGAAGATTATCAGACCGACTCCTCATTATATCCTCTGAACAAACCAGTAGATAAGCTTGAAGCCAATATACAGGTGGGAGGTGAAGCAAGATTCGCGAATGATATACCTCCGTTACCTAGGGAGGTGTTTGGTGCCTTTGTTCTTTCCACCACTCATAGCGGAGAAGTAGATACCATTGATGTCGACGATGTTATGGTAAGTTGTTCTTGTATCATCCTAATTCCTATTAATATTATAAATTTGAAAATTTGTAAGACATAATGTAGATAGGTGATACTCTTGCTTTTCAAGGCGGTCTGCACTTTTTATCAACATACCACGTCGGCGAAGCCGCTAGCTGAACCTAGTTGTTTTATAAATTTGACTTCACGATTAATTTCAAGTGCCAAAAAGAAGCCAGCGGTAGCACATAGTGCTATTGAGATTTTCTATTTCCAAATTTGTTATACACCTATTTTGAGTTTTAAATAAACCAATATCAATTTGTCTCTTAAAAACAATAGCATGACTCATTTCCTTAAAAAAGAAAAACAACAGGAAAATATGTTCACAAAAATACTAGTATAATGAAAGTTATTTCGATAATACAAATAACTCATGGTTTGCTTAAGAAACATATGCAAGATGCCAATTCAAACAAAAACTTCAGAGTCATACCTAATTATTACTTTAGGTAATTTTTACATAATGAACATTGTAGAATATTTTGACACTTGAATCAATAACACAACATTGATGCCGCAACAGGTTTTTACACATCATTTCATGTATGTGGGTCTTGTCGCTCTTTTAAATGTTTAGTAATTTCCCTTAAACAAATATTGTTCATAACAACCATCAACAATTTTAATTGGTAGCTGCATATAAGTTGATTTTTTCATTTTTTCTGATGATTAGCAATTGGCATAGCCAATGGACGCTAATTCCTAGCCATTTGGGACTTCGGAAGGCTACATTGGGAAGGATTGGACCACCGGTAACATTATTTACAAAGCGAAACACTACATAATACAGATATCTTTTTTGAGTCATTAATTTACATTACGACACATAAGTTACTTAAACTAGGATTCTCTGTTCTATAAGTGATACCGACTTTGTTTATGAAAATGATTAAGAAATGTATCATGCGCCATTATGTCTTCCAACAATTTTGCTTCAATCAATTTATAGAATCTTGATAAAGTTTAACTCTGTTCCAGTCAAAAGAAGGAGTCGTCGCCTTTTATACCGCCAAGGATATTCCCGGCGTCAACTCCTTTGGTTTCCCTGGAATTCAATTGCAAACAGATGAAGAAGAAATTCTTGCAACTAAAATCAAATTCTATGGTCAGCCAATAGCCATAGTAGTAGCAATCAGTGAAAAAATAGCTGAAAAAGTAGCAAAACAAGTAAAAGTGACATACAAAGATGTTGGCACAAAACCTCCTGTATTGACAATTGATGAAGCAAAAAAAGATAGCAAGAGATACGTGGCTGGGACTCCGTCTATAGAACCTAGTGGCAAAGGGGATAATGTACAGAAAGTGATTAAAGGAATTTTGGATTTAGAAGCTCAGTACCATTATTATATTGAACCCATCACATGTGTTGTGGTCCCTGTTGATAAAGGACTCGAGGTATACGATTCATCGCAATGGATGGACTTATCGCAAATTGCGATTGCAAGGTCTTTGGGAATACAGGAAAGCGAGTAAGTATAATTATTGTCGGCGTATTAAATAATTTTAGGATTATGGTGAACATAAATATTTAAAAATAGCATCACGTAATATAATATCATTTAAAATGTTAATTTGAAGTATTCTCTCAAGAGAACATTAGTTAATGATACAACAATAGAATAGGAATATTTTTTTCTATGAAGCACTTTCCATGCACTTTAGAATATATTTAAATTAACCATGCCGATGAATGGTTTTTAAATAGTATTTATCTTATAGATATTTGAATAACTATCATTATTCCTCTCTCAAATTAAAAGAAATTTGTGAGTAACTTGAAATTATCGTTTCGGAATTTAAGAATTTCGTATAACAACAATGCTTTCTAAAATTCTATGTTGATTTTTTAGAGTTGTCGTCAAAGTACGTCGTGTTGGTGGAGGGTTTGGAGGCAAGATCAGCCGTAACGTGCAAGCATCTGCAGCTTGTGCATTGGTCGCCAAGAAACTTGACCGGCCCTGCAGGTTTATACTGCCAATGCAGACGAATATGACAATAGCAGGAAAGAGATTGCCAAGTCAATGTGAATACGAGGTTGTTATAATTCTTAGTTATTTTGGTCTAGTAGATTTTTTAAGCTAACTTTACTTTTGCGGTTTGACATGTAAGGAATTCAGTAATACAGGATTGACTAAATCCTGTAGGAATATTGGGGGAAAGACTAGCCTGAGACGTCGAGGATTAGACATTGTTAAGGATTTTTCAAATTAGTCCGCTGGCGCTATTTTTTGTATGTGTTAGGACGGCAAACGAGTCGACAGATTACCTAATGGTAAGTATTCAGCGCCGTCTATCATGGAAAAGTAACGAGTGCGTTGTCGACCTTTTGGTTCTTTCACGCCTGGGTTTTACGTTCTTTGGTTGTTTCACGCCGGTTTTCTTGCGGCCATTAAGATTACGTTATTTTTATACGTTATAATATTTTATACGTCATACGTTAATGCATGCTTTTCCACATTTAATTTTAATTTTTATTATCTTCAAGAAAAAATATTTATTGGTATTTAACAATTTGTTACATTTTTCGCACTTATAACGAATTTATTATCGTTCGTTTTATATATTGTTCTTCTAATGTACAATTTCCACGATTGAAATATTAAAATAATAAGTATCAAAGCTTTACCAATGACGTAATAATAATTTACAATAATAATGCGCCTATAACTTAACTAATTGATATCAAAGTCTCGCGGTAGACAAATTCCATAGCCATTATGACTCAATTAGATAGAGATAATGAGATAGACATAACAATAGAGGAATAAGTACAAGTGATTAAGATACTACAATACTAATATGTAGGTCAAAAAATCCTGGATTAGATGTTTATAAAAGAATACTAATAATATTTACTGCTTTACAATTTTGAATTACTATTTCATAGGTTGGTGTCGACAATGATGGTAAAATCCAATATCTTAATGCTACAATCGTACAAGACAATGGTTGTTCTAACAATGAAAATATTCTGGACTTCGTTGCTGGCGGTTTCCCGAATTGCTATAACACTGAATACTGGTCTTTGAAGACCGCTACGGTCACAACAGATACGCCTTCTAATTCATTCGCTCGAGCTCCAGGTTTGTTATAATCCTTCATTTTAATTTCAGATTAATTTGTGTGTCATTTGTTTAAACCATAAAAGTGTAACTAATTATTTTATGGTACGATGTCTGAATGTAAATGTTAGCCGCTTAATTAGCCAGTCAAACCTCAGAGTAAGATATAATAATTATTATTCTTAATCTAACAGGAACTTGTGAAGGGATTACCAGTATAGAACACATAATGCAGCATATTGCATTTGCGGTACAAAAGGACCCGACTAGCGTCCGTAAAGTAAACATGAGAACAGAGGACAATGACCTTCCAGAAATGATAGAAACTCTAAAGAAAGATGCTGACTACGATAGACGAGCTAAAGAAATCGAACAGTTCAACAAAACAAATAGATGGATGAAAAAATCTATTTCGTGCAACGTGATGTGCTTCCCAGTAATCTTCTACGGTAACTATTCAGCTCTTGTCTCCATCTACCGAGGAGATGGTACAGTAACAGTCTCCACAGGAGGCATAGAAATGGGACAAGGAATCAACACCAAATGCGCTCAAGTTTGCGCTTACGAACTTGGAATACCTCTAGAATACGTCAAAATTGTTCCCAATCAAACATATATTGCTGCAAACAATGTTTTCTCTGGATCTAGTATCACTACTGAAAGTTGCGTCTATGCTATTATAAAAGCTTGTGAGGTTTTGAAAGAAAGATTGGCTCCAATAAAAGAGAGTATGCCTGATGCTACATGGAAAGAAATTATCCAAAAGGCTGGCGAAGACCAAGTAGACTTGACTTCTTTGTATATGATGAAGGATTCTGATGAGAATCTGAAAGGTTACAGTGCGTTCGCTGTGTCTATTATTGAGGTGTTACTGGATGTTACGACTGGAAGGTTCCAAATTGTGCGAGCTGATGTTTTAGAAGATGTTGGTGTAAGTGCCAACCCTAAACTGGATGTGGGTCAGGTGAGTATTTTTTTTATTTTATAGGTCGACATACGCCCATGTTACAATTGAGGACTTACGAGTGCGTTGCTTGTAGTTGCGGCCGTTTAAGGACTAGGATTTCGAAGATTTATGGATTGGGACTCCGGTAACCTCACTTACGGCGAATCACAACGCTGTGTTGTTTCACGCCGGTTTTTCTGTGAAGTGTCGAATTGTGCCGAAATTCATGGCGAAATGTATACTTTCATACATTTATATTACATATATTAATCTATGCAATTGTGAATGTTGGAATATGAGATTTTAATAATTGTTTTTTATAGGTGCAAGGTGCATACATTCAAGGTATTGGTTACTTCACTTGTGAGAAGTTGATTTATGATAAAGATACTGGCAAATTGGAAACCAATCGCTCCCTAACTTATCACGTACCTCTCGCCCTGGATATACCAGTAGAGTACAACGTCAAGTTGAGGTACAACCATAAGAATCCGAATGGGGTTCTTGGATCAAAGAGTAAGTATTTTCTTTATTTTTATGCGATAGGATGACAAACGACGGTTTAGCTGATGTTAAGCAATCGGCACCAACTATGGACACCCGCAACACCAGAGGAGTGACGAGTGCGTTGTCGGTCTTTTGGGAATAGGGGCTTGGAGATTTAAAGGTCAGAAGGTGGGAAGAAGGATTGGGCCTCCGGTACCCCCCATCGCACAGCAAAACACATTGTTGTTTTTGCCAGACTTCGTGGCAAGGTAAATAATGAGACTGTAGATGGTTAAGGTCTGTTTATTACTTTAATTGCTGGTGCTTATATACTAAGAAGATGCGTGATATTTTCAGATTTAGCTATCCTAACAAACGTGCAACAATTAACATGTGTGTCTTATCTCTATCGTATCTAAGTAATGTAGCGACGTGATCGTGCCGCTACATATACTCCCCCCTTTTAAAAATAATTAACATATAAATTGAAAAAAATTAGTATGTACCTAATTATATAATAACTTAACCTTGCTGATAAATTACATCCTATGCGTAATGTAATGTCATTGTTGCTAATTCGAAGGAAATAAAAACTGCTGCCTTTGTTGTGACGGCGGCGGCAGTCGATGAACTATCCACTGCATTTGTGCTGATTGTTTCTGCTGATTGAAAATTTTAAATTCTTGTTATTACGAAGTCGTAATAATTCTTGGTCATCATGCTGACATCTTGCTAAATCAGCATAATTAATCGGTGATGGCACATCAATTTGTTCTATCCGTGACAATGCGTCTGCTACAATATTGTCACGTCCTTCTATATGTTGAATGTTGGTACAATATTGTGAAATAAAATCCAGTTGTCGTATTCGCCGTGGCGTATCATTAGATGACGGTTTTTGGGAAAATGCGTAAGTCAAAGGTCGATGATCTGTAAAGATAGTAAATTCTCTTCCTTCGACTAACCTTTGAAAATGTTTGACTGCCATATATATTCCGAGCAACTCTCTGTCGAATGTCGAGTATTTTTGTTGAGTATCACTTAATTTCTTTGAAAAGAATCCTAATGGTTCCCAATTACGTCCTGACTTCTGCTGCAGAACTGCGCCAACACAGGTCGAACTGGCGTCCGTCATAAGTGCCAAAGGGGCGGTGCGAGAGGGGTGAACTGTTAATACTGCGTTCCTTATATTTTCCTTGGTCCTTTAGTGATAATATGATGCTTAATCTTGTGTTTTGGAGTAGTGTGGAGGGAGGCTGGTTTCGTAATATCCTCGTATTCATTTAATAGTTGAGTAATGCGTGGATTCGTCTCAATGTTAATAGTGCGGATTGTTTGCTGCGTCGATTTGATCAGGGTTGCGGGCGTTGTCAGCTCAGTTACCCTATCTATGAGTTTTCGACCAGCTATATCGACTAATAGCTTATAATGCTCTAAAAAAAATCTGCTCCAATAATCGGTTGTGTTACATCGGCGATGACAAAGTTCCATACAAAGTTTCTTCGTAGCCCGAAGTTTAAAGAGAGTGTTTTTTCACCATATGTCTTAATTTGTGTACCATTGGAGGCATAAAGTATACATTGTTCATCTTGTATTAGTGAATGTCTCTGTGGCTTGCTAATAACTGAAATATTTGCTCCCGTGTCAATCAAAAATCTCATACCACTTTTTCGGTCGGTAATAGTGAGGCGGTTGGACGGGTGAATAGCACAGAGTTCCGCCGTTGTCCGTGCTTCAATTAGTTTCCCTGTTTCCTTGAGTTGAGATCCTGTTTCCAATCACAAGGTTGAACACACTTTTGTGCATATTTTTTAAATCTTCCATGGTAAAAACAAAAGTGCCTTCTTTCTCTTGAACTTGACTGTGGTAGGAAATGCCGGCGATTGGAATAACTTTGAGTGCTGCGTCGATAGTTTTTTTGACCTTGCTGAATTGCATTTAGTTCCAATTGCATTTCTGCTAACTGTGCTAGTATGCATGACATTGTATCGTCGCCAGATTTGTTTCCGTTTACAGCTGACACCTCTGTACGTGTTGAATTTATTAATATCTTGTCCGCGATCTGGCTCATCTTGTTCACATCTATGTCTTCTGTGACTGCTAGAACCGAAGTCACTGATGGTGGCAGAAGCCTCAACCATAGAAGTTTGATGGTTTCGTCGCTGATATTTCCGTTACTCAGGGTCCGCATCTTGCGCAGAAGATGTGATGGTTTCTGGTCGCCGAGATCCATTTCAGACAATAATTTTTGGAGCTGACGTTGGTCTGATTCCTCATAGCAACTGATTAGGCGTTCTTTGATAGCCTTGTACTTTTCTATTGGCGGTGGGCAAGTAATGAGGTCACTAACCTGTATTATTTCTTCTTTTGGCAGTTTTGCAATGACCGTATAGTACTTGTAATCGTCTCCTTGCTTCTGTGGTGCTACTATGGCTTCTAGTTGCTTAAACCATAATCTGGGTTGGTCCCTCCAAAATTCCGGTTCCGGCTGATATCTCCAAGGCTTCTTGTTGGCTGCTGCTTGATTTGCAGGGTGAATGAGTCATGTTGATTGTTCTTCGTCGGGTCACCAATTTGCCAGACTTCGTGGCAAGGTAAATAATGAGACTGTAGATGGTTAAGGTCTGTTTATTACTTTAATTGCTGGTGCTTATATACTAAGAAGATGCGTGATATTTTCAGATTTAGCTATCCTAACAAACGTGCAACAATTAACATGTGTGTCTTATCTCTATCGTATCTAAGTAATGTAGCGACGTGATCGTGCCGCTACATTGTTCCATTCATGTGAGGCCGTGGTAATAATCCGGTCGAGCGGATCTGCTTTAAGATAGCTCTCCCACATTTTTCTACTTGCGTCACGTATTAAATCTTTAAAGCGATAGAAAAAAGTAACACTAAACTTATCACCAGTCATCTTACATATTCCACGTAATTAGGGAGGAACCTTTGGCCTTATATTATTTTCTCTTTTTTATAACTCACCATAACTCAAAAATTCTTCCGTGTTTTTCAATTATAATACTTATAGTTTTTTTTATTCAAAAAGAATTGAATAACCGCAGTAAGATTTTGCTCCTGCGTTGCGTTGTGGGCGCGTTTACAAACATACAAATTCAAATAGACATCACACTTGGACTCGGGACAACAATTTATGGATCACACAAGGTGTATTTCTATGCGAGAATAGAACCATAGCGTCAACACACAGTTTTACAGTAATTGATTAATTGTAAATCACTCTTTGTTACGTGAACTTATGAATTTATTATTATTACAGCGTGTGGAGAGATGGGAATCTGTTCAGCTCACGGAGTGATGCATGCGCTGCGCCAGTGTATCATGGAGTCCCGCAAGGATTCAGGCTATGATCCGAACGAATGGATTTATATACGTAAGTTTTTATTTCTGTTGGCATAAGTGAAATCTATAAAGTCTGGAAATAAGTAGACAATTTTTTTCTTTATGGTCGTATTCTTTTCGTTCAATTTAATTCAAAGAGATCTTACTAGGTCTAATGATAAGCCTATGGCAGTAAGGCTGTCCCAAGGATGAATCTATCTTATATCTTTGGACATCCTAGATTTACTACTAATTATATTCTACTTATCATCTCAGTAGTTAAATTCTATACAGAGATTACTTTTCTATGTTGTGTTCTAACTCTTCCAGTCCAACATATATTTGTATAGAAGCCTTGTATTATTGATGTAGCTAAAGATACGTGAAAGAGACAAAAAATTTAATGTAATAGTGGGGATGGTTATTTTTGACACTGTCTAGGCTGGTGGCAAAATCACTATCACTAGGTACATAGTATAAAACAAAGTCGCATTCTCTATCCCTATATCCTAATGTATGCTTAAATCTTTAAATTAATAGATAGAGTGATTGAAGAGTGAGGTTTACATGTATAATAACATCCATTAAGTAGTGGAGGAATTTAGTGCGAAGCCAGGACGATTATGAGTCTCTGATATGGGTCTTCTCTATAAAAGACTATAGTTTAGACCTAATTTATACGGAGGAGGAGGAGACCTATAGTTTAAAAGTGAAAGATAATAACAATAATGATTTTGATGATGAAAATAATGATCCATGTGACCATAACCCTGGATTTGTATCAATGTTATCAATTGTTCGGTTTTGAAGCAAATGAATGAAATCAAATAATAAGGATGCATTAATGAAATAACCTTTCTTGTTTGTCTACAGCTGTGCCGTACGAGACTGAAGTAATTTTGAAAGCGTTGGACGTAAAACCCGAAGAATTCCTTCTCAATGCTTAAGCTGATAACGTTAAAACTTTAAACCCTTATCACAAAACAAGATCATTAGTCTAGGTTTAAACCATTGAGTCTGGTTTTGTATTTTGAATCTTATTCTCACCTACCTTCAATTTGAAATACAAAAACTGGCTCAATGGTTTAGACCTAGACTACAGAAAAGCCTTGTTTTCTAATAAGGCCGTAAATGTTTGCCAAATGATGTGCTTCCTCATAGTCGATTGTAACTTGCCATACTATATTAACACCCAGTTTCCGAAAGGCCGCTCAATGTTAAAATCGATTTAATCTCTTGTCAAGTCATCTGATTGGTTGACTGAATTAGCAACAACCAATCAGATGACTTGACAAGACATTTGACACCTAGTTAGTCGACTTTAACATTGATCGGGCTTTTGGGAACCGGGCATGAGAGAAAAAAAAGCTTGTTTTGTATCATAGTCGATTGTAATTTGCCATACTATATACATTAAGTGTGTTAAGATATCTAATTTTATATTATCTGATACTTCTTTTTCTTTCTTTTTTAACAAATCATGGTGTTTGGTTATTTATATTTTTATTTTTATTCCATTTCTGTTGAGTATTAGTTAAATGGTTTTCTATCTTTCTCACACCTCCTTATTGTATTTGCAAACAAATATTATAAAACAGAATGTCCTGTGGCCATGTGAAATAAAAGCAATCAAGTAAACTTTTGAATTTATTACTAAGGAATAGTTTCTTCCAGCCCGTAATAGGAGGTGTGGGAACCCTATGTATGTATTATTACAGACTATAAATCTTTGGGCCAAATTTTATTTATAGGCCCAACTAAATTTAATTTTATCTGACCTGCTTTTTTGATTTGGTGATAAAACAATGCAATGTTTGCACGTTGGTTTGCACAATAATAAAATTATACTTGCTGGAACTATCAAATGAACCTTTTTTGTATAAACTTGACTTGAAAATAGTTGTTTTATTAACTGTAATAAGGATAGTGACTTTCTATATTTTATTCTTTTGTTTTTTTGCCGAAAATATCTTGTTACTTATATTATTGTTTAAATTATGAAATGCGATTTATAGAATAAATCCATTCCTGTTTCTGTTACCAACTGTTATTCAAATAAAATGTATTCTCGATATTATTAAAAAAATATCTCATTTATTATTTGTTTTTATTTATTTGTCTCCCTAAAAAGTGCATTGCTACAAATTAAGATTTAATTTATAAAAGATTCAAAAGTATTGAATATTTTTATTAATTTACTAGCTACTTTCGCGCGGTTTCACTCGCTGCTCGCTTCCTTTTAATCGTAGCGTGATGTTTTACAGCATATAGCACTCAGGAACATTGTAGAATTTTGGCCAAAATTCTACATCGTGGCCTTTAATAGACCGTCTAGTGCCCTTATTGGTGGACGTTTTGAGCTGAGCTTGTCTGTATGTGGGTTTCATTCTAGGACGTGCTAAGTATGTCCGCGATTCGCAAAAGTGGTTAAAAGTCATAAGGTGACTTCTCCCGTCGCGTGGGTGGGGTGAGAGGGAGTATTTTTTTTATGTAATAGATCGGCAAACGAGCAGACGGATTACCTGATGGTAAGCCGCCCATGGACACCCGCCACAGAGGAGTTACGAGTGCGTTACCGACCTATTAGGGATTAGGGATTTGAAGATTAAGGGATTGAGGGACGGGAAGAATTGGGCCTCCGGTAACCTTACTCACACAGCAAAACACAACGCTGTGGTTGTTTCACGCCGGTTTACTGTGAGGCCGTGTTATAACTCCGAAGCATAACTCAGTCAGTCATGTATCAGTCTCTTACTGACTAAACCCACTCCGTTACTGCTCCTTCTCCGAGCTGGGTCCGTACATTCCTCGAAAATGTAACACAGAAAAAGGGGAGGGATCTGAGGCTCAGCCCGCATACCGCCGGCACATACCGCCTTCCGGCGGCGACCTCTCGCGCCCGGCCTTAGTCGAGGCCATGGTGCGGAGTGAGAGGAACTGGGACGCCGTCTCCTCCTTCTGTGAAGCAGTCATGCTTGCAAAGAGAGAGGCGGCCCACGTGAGGGAGCAATCCTCCTCCTCACGCCCCAGCCGCCGCAACAGGCGACACTACGGGTGTCGGGGATCAAGGAACGATCTCCGGCCACCGTAAGCACGGGTCTGCGAATAAGGGCAGCTCGCCGCCCGACCAGAACCAGGCCCGAGCGTACGGAGCGTAGCATTCCGCGCGCGCCTCAAAGAGCCAATAGACCACCCCAGACGGGGCCCTAAAGAGCTGATGTTCGGCCGGGGATGCGGGGTAAGCGCAATGAGGCACCGCAACCTCGGCCCAGAGCAGGAGTAGGAATAGGGGGGTTTTTAGTCAGTAAGAGTCTGACACTCCCTCCCGCCCGGCCCTGGGCGGGAGAAGACAGTCATTTGATGATTTACCACTCACAAAAAAAACATACCGCCTTCACTGTGTCTCCGGGTGGTCCAAGTAGTGACGACACCTGTAAAACTTTCGAGTTCGGTAAGCACAAGAGATGCCTCTTTAACTACTTCTCATGCCCCTGCGATATCAGTGAAACCGACACTTTTTGGAGACAATCATTGTTTTCACTCTGCCATGAGAGCGCCGAAGCTCATCCCACTTCAGTGATTTGGAGCAGCAGCAGTTTAGTCCCGGCGACCTGTCTCAACGAGCAAAACTGAGGACGCAAGTAAGTCTTGCCTCCAGATCCCATGGCGGTGATCCCTCAAGAAGATCTTCGGATATGTAATTACTTACGTGCTTTATTTATGATGTTTTGATTGCACGGTTGGCGCGGTTACTGGGCAACTGGCTGCCGCGCAACGTGTCGTGGGTTCGATTCCCGCACGGAACAACTCTTTGTGTGATCCACAAATTGTTTTTTGGGTCTGGGTGTGATGTTTATGTGAAATTGTGTTTGTAAACGCACCCACGACACGGGAGAAAATCCTAGTGTGAGGCAACGTTTAAAAAAATGGTTAAAGGAATATTTAGCATATTTAGATTAGTGCTAAAATCAGTTCAAGCTTAAGAACATGAGTCATGTTTTATGTCTAGTAACTAAAACAGCTTCCACCAATTGTTTATTTAGTTTCGATTATGACAAGGTTCTAGAAATTGACTACCAATAAATAAATTTTCGCTATTCATGTAGACTACGTAATATTTACTTTAAAATATTTGCTTTTTACTTCCATGGTATAAATATTGCAAAACAAAAAATACAAAAATTCTGCTCCACATTTCGAATTTGGCACCTAACTATTCACACTTGTGTACTTATTATACATTTTTCTTGAATTACACCCAAAAAACAGTACTTTTGGCGTGTCGCACATGAAAAGATGTCTTCCAAAATTGAATTCACCGTTAACGGAAAAAAATGTACAGGTAAGAGTTATCAGTATTCTTTCTTTATATATTAAATTGTTTTAACATTACGATTATTTTAAATTTAAAATTTTGCCTATTTGTTTTCTTTATCTTTGTGTATAAATATATTTTTATTTAAATTTTAACACTTGAACGCTTGGTCGTTCTAGTTTACATTTAATTAATACATAGCGTATTGCGTAGGAATTTACTATTCTGATTTCAAATATTAGAATTTGGGTATTTTCAGTTGCTCGCTTTAAATTTGATTTTATTCTAACGCGAGCGGTTTTAGAATGCTTTTAAATGTAAACCTAGTGATTGTATTATGTTTTAAATATATTAAGTACCATTTTTTTATTCGACACATTGTCAAGTTTTTGGCATATTCTAGAAGCTAATACTCACAATCAGACATAAGATGTGATGTTTGTTGTTACCGACTTATGATAATTAATGCTTCTGAAAATATTGGTAGAAAAAGTAATTCCTATAGATTTAATTTCTCTTACTTGAGCAAGGCATAAACTTATTAGGCGAATTAATTGGACTAAATTCTAGATTGTAGACGTCCTTAAAGCACAATATGGCTTCATTTTTAAAAAGTTAATCCAACCATTTTACTTAGACCAAGGCACCGGTCCTTTGTAAAGGAATTTGTATATTTTCCCACAGTGGACGAGAACCTTCGACGAGAGACGACCTTGAACGCGTACCTCCGGTATGTATTGGCACTGCCTGGTACAAAGGCGATGTGCCACGAGGGAGGCTGCGGCTCCTGCATAGTGATGGTGCGTGCTAGGAGGTACCCTAGCGGCATCGTCGAGACATTCTCTGTTAACTCCGTAAGTATTTTTTTTAAAAAAACATCGGCTAACTCTGTCATTTTCTCCTTGGTCGTCGGTGCGTTTACAAACATACAATTTCACATACACTGCACAACCCAGACCCGGAACACCAATTTGTGGATCACACAAAGAGTTGTTCCGCCCGGGAATGGAACCCGCGACACGTAGCACGGCAATCTGGTTGCCCAGACAGACAACCGTGCAGGCAGTAAGTGTTTATGAAAACATTTTACATACATACGTTCGAATCATTTCGATTCGTTTCGGTTAGCTTAACTTTTTATAGGTCAGGTACCCGGTGAAAAAGCATGTATAGTAGGATGAAATGGGTGTTACATTGTCGACGCATCCGTCCACCCTAAGTACTAAGCAAAAGTAAACCTTATTCCCATTTCTCCAGTGTTTGGTTTTGGTGTTCTCCTGCAACGGCTGGGAGATCACGACTGTAGAAGGCATTGGCAATGCCTTGGATGGGTACAGCGAGGTCCAGAAGCGTTTGGTGGCGTTCAATGGTACCCAGTGCGGATACTGTACTCCAGGATGGGTGATGCAGATGTCCAGGCAAGTAGCCTTATAAATAGAAATACATAGTTACAATCCCAATACATTTTCTGTTTTTGTAGCAGTCTGTTTAGTATGTTTACATACTCATGGTCATTATAATGGAAAAAAAATTAACATGAGGTCTGCTAAAACACAGTTGTATATGTATTAATTAGTTTTGTGTATTGTTCCACTGACACACATGTAAATAAACATAACTCATTTAGCTCACCATCTCAGACCAAAAGCTACATACAATTACTTATTTCAATTGGACTAAAGAGACACTCTGGGACGCTAAACAATGAAAAACTGCTCCTTCGGTCCCAAGGTGAAGCTATTTTGCTCTTTTCCAAACGCCTATTAAAAATGTCTATAGAGAAAAACCAAGTAGAACTCCATAGTAACTTGTTATCAATCAGTCGTTCTCTTCTGCTCTTTTAGTCTCCTTGACAAGAACCTGACGATGGAAGAATTAGAGAAGTCCTTCGGCAGCAATACCTGCAGATGTACAGGGTTCCGACCAATCATGGACACCATGACCTCGTTCGGAGTAGACGCTTCTCCAGAATTATGCCAGAAAGTGAGGGACATAGAGGAGGCGAGCCCATGCTCCAAAAATCTTAGGAGTTGCCAGAGGAAATGTTCAGAGACCAGTGATTGCAGTGATTGGAGTGTTTTAACTGAAGAGAAAGACTTGGCAAAGAGTGCCATTGCATTGAACTTTGGTAAATC